ATAGGAAGAAGAATTGTATCCAATAGAATATTCTACCAGATACTTTATTAAAACCATCTGCAAAGCTCATATTTTAGCAATGTGATTATCTCAAAAATAAAACAATGAATAGTCTCTACTTAACTAACAAATAGATTGGAGATCTACTTGGCTTTACTTTAACTACAATCACAAACCTACATATAATCTTACAAACTTCAAACTTAACCAACTCAAGTCCTTCAAAATTAAAACACTATTTAATGAGCTCTCTATATATTCTCTCTATCATACACTATATTCTAAGACCTTTCATAGTAATAATTGCTTTCACTGCAACTCTCTAGACTTTCTATCATATTGGCGTATCTGTGCTAACCTATCTTTACTTCACCAATTAATTATATTCACTATCACAAATTATTTTCACTTTGCAGAACTTAATATATCTAATAATAAATTAGAAGATCTAATTCAAAAAATTCACAAACATGAAGCATTTTACAATATTGCTCTTCAACCATACTCATACTATATAGAACCTACTCTTAAGGGTCTAATTCCTCGATCTTTAGTTCAAATTATTCAAAATTATAATATTTCCTATAAAATAACATCTAACACTATAATTAACTTATTACTTAAAATTAATGAACAATTATATGATCAAGTATAGAAACCTTATTGCACAAACTTTGCTAATTGAAAAAAATAACAACACCTAACTTATCCATATTCTAAAATTCTGACATTACTTAACATTTTGACGATCCAGACTTTAATAATTCAGATTCGAATTAGCAATCCAAAAATACTAATCATATACGAAGAGTATACACATATTCTTGCTTATGTGAACTATCTAATCAACTATACTCACATACTAGAGTCTGCCCACCAGCTAGCCAGGCTAAAAAAAAATTAATACTTGGTCTATATATTGAGCCAAGTACAGCATCTCTTTAAATTATATCTTAACTATAGTAATCTAAGTAAGTTCCTAGCCACTCTAGTAGGTTTAGATCACAGATAAATTTTTCTTTGTCTGAGCTCTTATTCTTGCATATAATTTTCATTTTTATTTATACTGGTACAAATAGTAGTAGCTATACAAATTTTTATAAGTAGAAGCTTTGGCAACTGCACTGTAATAATTTATATTGTTGCTATTCTAAAAATTATTAATAAAGATACAAGCAAGGCCTCACTTTAAAACCAAAAAAAAAAAATCTGGGCTATTTACATAATTACATTCCTACATTCTGTCATTTTGTCATTCTTCTTTCTGATAAAACCTATGTATGTTCTTGTTTGAGGCTTGTAATCTGTAAATTAGTTTGCTATTACTTCTTTCAGGTGATGTTATGTAGTCGTGTAGCTGTATTCTATATTATATATATTCATAAAAGGTGGTATAAGGATATTCATAGTAATTTATAAGAAGAACTCTATTATGTTGCTGCACAATTTAGTAAGAATTATTCTCAAAATCAAGTGATTAAAAGAATTAAAACTGGCTAAGCGTCAAAATCAATATGAAATTGTGCCAAATGTAAACATTATAAATCTAGATGTTCAAAAAAATAGTTTTAGAGGAAAGTGTTAACAAATCATTTTGTAAATTTTTTTAAATAAAAGTTAAAATGATCTATCTATTCATTTAGATGTTCATTGTTTGATTTTTATTAGAATGTTATCAGTATTATCTAGTTCTTTTTACAAAATTGTAATTACTTGACACAAATGGTTAAATACAGATATGTTAATTTGCAGGTTGATCTAAATTTTTCATTAATCATTGTATTTAAGATAGGTATTTAAAATAACTATTTTGAATTTTATTTGATTTCTTTGATATATATTAATTTAGTTAACAAGTTACTGATATATTATACTTAACTAGTTTCATGTTAATTTAGCTGAGTTCTTAATTAATATATTTAAGAGAATAATTTAAAATTGTAGAATTTACCTTACCTCCTTTCAATTTTATTATACAGTTAGACTTCTCTAAATGCACCCTCCCTAAATGCAGCACCTCTCTAAATACATGATCTAAGCCCAGGCTTATAGTGGACTTATAGATAAATGCATGTTCTTTATTCTGTAAGTGCACAATAATTGTCTGATCCACTTATAAAAACTCCCTCTATAAATGCATCTACGTGATTATCAACCAATCAAATCTATTACTCTAGATAATTAAAGACACATTTATCACGTAATAATAATCATATAATGATTTTATTAGTGTTTTTTAATTGCAACCCTCCCTAAATGCATGCTCTAAAGTTAGTCTCGATGATGTGCATTTAGAGAGGTTTGACAGTACTTATTAATTCAGTTGGTGAGTATAAAGATCTTTTATTAATTGATAGATTATTCAAGCACATATCATTTATATTTATTAATTCTTATTATAATAGGTTTTTTTTACTCTTATAGTACAGTATAGATCTTATTGAATTTTATTTTATTGCATTAAGTATTTATTAATTGATTTATTTAGGATAGGCTAAACAAGCTTATAGGGTAAATTATCTATTTAACTATTTATTATGCATTTTTTTATAACACTTTTATTGATTCATAATAAATCCAATAGTCCTTATTCATTCGAATCATTTAGTTTTTTGGATTGTAAATCTCTAGTAAGCACTTTTTAGATTGTTATAACTGATCTAGTGTTTCAACCTAAAAAATTTCACTAAAAAAATTTCACTGTTAGATTAGGATTAGATTTTGTTATTAAGTTAGGCTAAAAAGAACTTTAATAATATCAAAACTTCATAAGAAAAACTTTTTATTAGTGCGCAGAAGGTGGTTTTATAAACAAAATATTATGAGTGATTTTGTGTTTCTGCTGCATCACACCTAATTTTAAAATCTGGTTAGTCAGTGAAATTTTTTAGATAGGACAGTCATCACATTTTTGAGTTCACATTTCCTTATTTTGTATCTATCAAACATAAAATTCTAGTTATATACATTGTAAAAATGCAAAAAATGCACTGGGTCTAAATATTACAAATATACACTATTAAAACTAACAAATTGCTTTAATTCAATTCTAATAATAACAAAATTATGATTGAAGTGTGGAAGACTTGGTCTGAGTAATTAGAACATTAGATTAGAGCTCAAGGTTATATCACAAGTCTCTAATTCGAAATCACAGGATTGGAATTTATACACAATTTATTTATTAGGTGATTTAGCATTAAAGTAATAAACACTGCTTTATTATAGATGCAAAGGTATTATATTTATAGTTTCTACACTTATTAGTAAGTATATAATAACTATGTTTACTATGTTCACTATGTTGACTATATTGCAACATATAAGATCAGAAACTAGAGCTTTGTAGAATAATCCAAGACATAATCATAAAGTATTATCACTGGAGTAATGTAAACATTTAGTTTCCTCTCTAACACATGCATTTCTCTTTTAGGTTTCTCTTAAAGTCTTGTTTTTTACTTTTTAATGTTAAGGCTTTACTTAGCAGCTTCCATCAGTATACCACTTTTTGAAGAATTCACTTTTATAACTTTCTTTATTGCCAAATTAACCTACCAATTATTAATAGGATCTTAGATTTCAGATCTTGATTGGTTCTTGGTTCTGTTCTTTATTCACTTTGCTAAACTTACCTATTCTTATTCTTTACTTTAAATACTCTAGACATCTTTGATTGATTTGCTTTATTAGCTTTCTATACTATTAAGGATGGCAAAAGTTTTTTATTACGTAATTAAAAACAGATAATGATTATGATATTAAATTCAGATTTAACTATTCAAACTTTAATTATCACATGTTTTAAATTGGTAAAAAAATGTTTAAAACTTTATTTTTTATTATTTCTAGGTGCTATTTTGCAATAATAATTCATTCTTGATACAAGTATTCTTTAAATCTTTTTTATCTCTTCTGCTTTCTTTATTTCTAATATTTTTTCTATAATACTAACATCTTTTTTGGTTTTTTTTATATTAAGGTTTTTTCTTTTAGTATCTTTATCATAGGTGAGAATAGAATTTAAGTTGATTCAGAATTTTTAAGGTTAGAGTTGGAATTTTTAGTATAATTATTCTGTTTTAATCTAAGTGGATTCTGAATCCTATTATTATTCCATTCCCACTTACAACTTCTCTATCTATATATTTTTGGGTTTAGTTTTATTGATATTAGAATTAAAATAAGTATATTTACAGCAGTTTCTATTTTTCAAAGTATTTTCTTTACATTTTACGTTAATTACTAATTATTCTATATCTCCTATATAGGCATCTTTCGGCTTGTTCTTCGGTAGCTCTTTGGTAGTCTTAACTGTTTTCTCAACAGAAAATTCTTTTTTATTATCTAACTTTTCTTCACTTTCTATTATAAAAACTACTTCTTTGTATTTTTTGACCATTTTCTCAGTTCTTTGCAAATTATAGTTCTTACTCACAATGCCCTTATTTTGCAAATTTAATCTCTGCTGGTCTTTCATATTTTTTTAAAATGTTCTTAGACATCTTAAAGTAATTGGCTAGTGATTAAGATTATGCATAAGTACTATAATTAATTGAGTAACCTTTTATTGAAGTAATCCTCCTTATCTTGTATAAATAGCTCCAGAGTTTTCTAATAATCTAAGCAGTATCTAATCTAGACTCTATCATCCAGAACTAATGATACTTAATAGAATTGGTTATTGGAGAGGTTCTATTTCTTATCCCTTCTCTAAAGCCTTCAAGAGGAAGCCTATTTAAAGTTATGGCAATTTGACTTAAGATTTATAATACAAAAATATGGATATTAAATTTTAGCAAATCAGTATAATCTTTATGATAAAAAAGATAGTCTCAACCATTGATTCATTTGATCAGCCAAAGTGAGCTCTGACTTATTAGTTTAGATGCTTGAGAATACTAAGTTAAGTTCTGTTTTGGCTTTTCCATCAGTACTTTGTATCACTACTTGTTCATTTTTTCTAATCAGTTTTAATGCTATATGGATCTTTGCCTCAAAAATGACCTTATAGAACATAATAATTGCTATGTCTTATAAGATTATTTTCAAAGCAAAGATCCTATATTATCTATCAGTTTGTCTTCTATCATTAGAGTTTATTACTACTTCTTTTTAGAAATAGGATCTTTGTTTTATTTAAGCCTATAGTTTTTAACTTAGTACTGTATATTTTGTGCAATTCTTCAACATATGATCATATATTCGATAGCAGTTAGCAAATAGATTATTTCATTTTTATTTTCTTTATAGCTATATATTATATCTATATACGAACTACAAAATCTAAATTAATTAATGTAGGTTTTTCAAATATTCAGACTATTATAAATATGAAATGTACAGATAAATTTTTGGTTGTGTTCTAGACTTAGAGTCTATTATATGACTTAAAATTGATAGAATATAAAAATCTAGCTCTTGTATATAGTAATTTTTAGTAATTTTTAAGATGATATATAGTAGTATTTATTTTGAAAATTTAATATAAAAATTTATAATAAAAATTAACCAATCATATAATTTTAAGGGTGCACTGTTGTGCAGGGGCATAAAATTTTTAAACCCTATTTATTTATTTATTTTTTGATTATTTTATTATCATATATATAGATCATTATGTATAGTATTTGTAGGATAGTAATTAAATATAAAACGGGTTGGGTGTGGTGACTTAGTATAGTTGGTAAGTTGTTACAGCAGACTGTGTATAATCTGATAGATCATCGGATCTGTAGCTTTAGTTGTACTAGCTTGTACTAGAAGGACATGAAACTATAGTGTGATATAAGAGTTATATGAAACCTAAGTGAAATGTTTGTGTAAATCTAAGGGCTGGGACAAATGGGATCCCACTTAGCAAGTTCCAAGTAGAGAGATAGCACAAATCTTTGATGATACTACGTAAAGGATGATCATTAGTAATCAGACACTGATAGCAAACCGGATGAGGACTGGATATTTGGCAAGACACTAATATCAACCAGGCCGCATATATATGGGGTAGCTCTGTATAGACGAAGAAAAATAATTCAATTGGAATACCAAAAGGATGCCCACTAGTTCCTCCCCGGGCTATCTGGATTGAGAGTTTAGAGCACTGTTGGTGAAGAAAAATTAGTGTTAGTCCATAAAGTGTGTGCTAGGGTTTGGGTGAAATCTACAAGGGCAGAAGTAGGTAATGGTAGCGGCTTTAGCTCGCAAGTACTTGTCTTCAGACTCGGTATAATTTACTGAAGTCTAGGTTAGCCAGATTGTGAGTACAGAAAGCTCTAGCAGGTTTATCTCGAGGACAAAAGACACCTATAGGTGGGTCTGTCTTAAAGTCCTAAGTCAGAGATCTGAAAATAAGGGGTACTATTGTATTTTCGCTTGGTTAGAAGATTAATATACATAGACGCAGAGGGTTTAAATAGGTAACTCAGTAGGGTTATAGGTATGGCAGCTAGTGTAAGACTTAGTAATAGGGGTCTACTTAAATAGGCAACTAAAAGTTGCAAATGTGGCTAGTTGTAATCTCCAAATATATATATAGTATGGTGTATACCATACTGTAAAAGTTAACAATAATCGAATAAAAAGACAGTGACCAAGAGGTCACCTTAAAACCAAAAAAAAAAAAAACTATAAAACGGGTTTGTAACAAAGAAAATTATAGTTTTAGAAAAACTAGTTTAGAAAAAAGATAGTTAGTAAATTAGCTTCTTTAAAAATATAAAAATGTTCTGTAAAAGACTTGTAAAAAGCATCATCCACTGTTCAAAGTCTTAATGATTTAATAAAAAAAGCCTCTTCATCTTGAATTTTTTCTAAATAAACCTATCCACTTGGTCATTTGTCTTACAGTATATCAAATTAATATTTATATCAAACTAAAATAATTATAGTCTTGCTAAAATTTACTCTAAGCATAATACTGATACAAATTCTTTGACTTGAACTTTTTTTAAGATTATTTTTTTATAAATAATAACATTATATTCTTTATTTTTATAATTTGTTAGCACTATCCTCAGATTTAATAAAAAGGCATATCACTAACAATTTTGAAGAAGAATATAAGTGATTCTGAAAAAAGTTACAAGAAGTTTCTGGACATGTAGCACTTATAACTGATATCTAAATGACTAATAATAATGACAAATCATTCATGACAATTATCATTCATTATTTAAATGCATCATGGTCTATAAAACACCTGTTACTCGATTTTATCTATATAGATGGACAATATACAGGTGCTAAAATTGTTGATGCTATGAAAAACTGTCTTTAATCTATAGGAATTATTTCAAAAATAAGTGCAATTATGTGTGATAATATATATTCTAATGACAAATTTTTACAAGATTTTTTTAATTCTATTTCATCAGCTAGTATTTATTTTGATAGCAAACAATAATTAATATGATGCTTTGCCCAAGTCTTAAATCTTGTAGTACAAAGCATTTTAAAATATATGAAATAAATTAGAAATAGTTAACATTATTTATTTAAACTTTTTTTTTCTGGTTTTACTAGTTTGTTTGTCTTTGTTAGTTTCACTGATCTGTTTGTATCTTATTAGTTTTGTTAATCTGCCTGTTTTTTGTAGGTTTCTTTGGTCTGTCTTTCACTTGTTTGTTTCGCTGGTCTGTCTCTTGTTGCTCTCACTGGTCTGGTTCTCTCTTATTGGTTTTGTTGGTCTGTTTCTTGTTGGTTTCACTGACAATAAGTATTTTTTTTTTGTAATTTTTTTTTATTATATAATTATTAACCAACTTTTTTTCTTTCTAGTTTTGCTAGTTTATTTGTCTCTTGCTGGTTTCATTGATCTGTTTGTATCTTGTTGGTTTCATTAGTCTGCCTGTTTTTTGTTGATTTCTCTGGTCTGTCTCTCTCTTGCTGGTTTTGCTGGTCTGTCTGTCTCTTGTTAGTTTCACTGGTCTGTCTGTTTCTTGTTGGTTTTGTAGTCTGCCTGTTTCTTGTTGATTTCTCTGATCTGTCTTTCTTTTGCTGGTTTCACTAGTATTACAGTTGGTGTCATCATTAGTGTTATAATTTTTGCTACTATGGAATGATCGTTGTAGTAGATAAATTCTGTCGGTGTGAGGTAAATTTTGGTTTTTTTTCTTTTTGTGCTTTGTTTTTTTTTCTCCTTTCTATTTAACTGTTTTTTTTCTTTTAGACTTATTTTGTCGAAGTTGTCTTTGGAGTCATTATTTTTGGAGCTGTCTTTATGGAGCTGTGTTAGTGGACTTTTGACTATAGATTTTTGTTAGTAGACTTTTGTGTAAATTTGTTTTCGTTATGTTTTAAAAAGTGGGTGGATGAGTCAGTTCTATGTAAAAATTATTTTGTATTTTTTTTTTTAATAAAAATTATAAATATATGTAGAAAATTATAAGTATATATAATTAACTAATAAAATTGATCACATAAATTACATGTTTGATTAATTTGCCAATTGAACACATGACTCATGTGATCAATTTTATTAGTCAATTACAAGATCGTTATAGTGATGGGTTGTTCTAAAACAATGCTCTTTATTTATTTATTTATTTATTTATTTATTTATTTATTTATTTATTTATTTATTTATTTATTTATTTATTTATTTATTTATTTATTTATTTATTTATTTATTTATTTATTTATTTATTTATTTATTTATTTATTTATTTATTTATTTATT